CCGCCCGGAGAGCGCGGCCACCCGGCCGCCCAACAATGGCCATCGCCGTCTCCCGGCCCCGGCGCCAGCCCCAGCCTTTTAAAGACACAGCGCCCCGGCCGCTTCTTAAAGGCGCCGCTCGCTCGCTCTGCAGCCTCCCCTCCTCCCCCCAACACACCCACCGCTCGCAGCCTGCTCCCCGGGGGCGCACGGGGCCTGCGCCCCGCCATGGAAAACCTTCGCTCGCCCCTCGGAGCGCGCTCCTTGGACTTCCCAAGCTTCCCACGCATCCCCTCTGGGCCCAGAGGGTCCCTCTCTGAGCATGGGCCCATCCGCTGGTTTTAGTCCTGCCTGATATTGACTGAGGCAAAGCCCAACACACCCCAAAACTTCACGGCTACGTCTAGACCGGCATGATTTTCCGCAAATGCTTTTAATGGAAAAGTTTTTCCAAAGAGAGGCTAGATTGGCACGGATGCTTTTCCGCAAAAGCACTTTTTGTGGAAAAGCGTCCGTGCCAATCTCGACGCGGTTTTGCGCAAGAAAGCCCCGATCGCCATTTTCGCCATCGGGGCTTTTTTGCGCAAAACAGTTTTTTGCTGTCTACACTGGCCCTCTTGCACAAAAACATTTCCGGAAAAGGGCTTTTGCCCGAACGGGAACGTCAAAGCATTTGTGCAAGAAGCACTGATTTTGGACAGTAGAACGTCAGTGCTTTTGCGCAAAATCAAGCGGCCAGTGTAGACAGCAGCCGCTTTTGCGCAAAAACTTGCCAGTCTAGACGCAGCCCACTGTTTCTCCATTCCACATGAGGACCATGCAGAACTTCAGAAGGAGATACCTGGGATTCGCCTGCCTCTAAAGCCCTTGTGTCCAACACACTAGCCACACATGGCTATTTGGCCATTTGAGTGTGGCTAGTTGGCTTGAACAATGTGGCTATTTGGATGAGACACTACAGTGGCTACTGCTTCAGAACCGGTTGGACACTGCGGTTAAAACATTGCTCCTTACAATGGTCACCTGGTAGGCCCAGATTGTCAAAGATACTTAGGGATGCTCTGAGTTCCTAGAAGTGGAGGGCCCCTGACACATATTTGAATGGTTCTGATCCTCTACGGTTGATCTTCTAAAAAAAAAGAGGTTTTAGAATTAGGAAAAGTACAGAGAAGGACAACAAAAACAATTGGGGAGGGGAGGAAGAGTTTCTATTATCAGGAGAGATTAAAAAAACAGATACAGTTCAGCTGGGGAAACAGACAACTGAGAAGGGGGGGTATATAGAGGTCTAGAAAATCGTGACTGGTAAAGAGAAATTGAAAAAGGAAGTGTTATTTGCTCCTCATAAACACAAAAACTAGGGGTCACCAAAAGAAGTTAATAGGCAGCAGGTTTCAAACAAAGAAAGTATTTCATCACACAACGCACAGTCAACCTGTGGAACTCCTTGCCAGAGGATGTTGTGAAGGCCAAGACTTTAACAGGGTTCAAAAAAGGTTGGAGGTTAAATCCATCAATGTCTATTAGCAAGGATGGGTATTGGCCACTGTCAGCAGACAGGATACTGGGCTGAATGGACCGTTGGTCTGACGCAGTATGGCCGTACTTATGTAAGGCAGGGTTTGATCACAGCTGGATGTAAGGGAAGAATGAGAGGGAGCAGACACAGCGAATACCAAGGTTGTGTTCCTGGGCTTGCAGGAGGATGGGCGTGTCATCCACAGCAATCATAGAATCATAGAATAATAGGACTGGAAGGGACCTCAAGAGGTCTTCGAGTCCAGCCCCCCGCCCTCAAGGCAGGACCAAGCTCTGTCTACACCATCCCTGACAGATGTCTATCCAACCTGTTCTTAAATATCTCCAGAGAGGGAGATTCCACCACCTCCCTTGGCAATTTATTCCAATATTTGACCACCCAGACAGTTAGGAATTTTTTCCTAATGTCCAATCTAAACCTCCCCTGCTGCACTTTAAGCCCATTACTCCTTGTCCTGTCCTCAGTAACCAAGAGGAACAAATTTTCTCCTTCCTCCTTATGACACCCTTTTAGATATTTGAAAACCGCTATCATGTCCCCCCTTAATCTGCTTTTTTCCAAACTAAACAAGCCCAGTTCATGAAGCCAGGCTTCATAGGTCATGTTCTCTAAACCTTTAATCATTCTTGTCGCTCTTCTCTGTACCCTTTCCAATTTCTCCACATCTTTCTTGAAATGTGGCGCTCAGAACTGGACACAGTACTCCAGCTGAGGCCTAACTAGTGCAGAGTAGAGCGGCAGAATGACTTCACGAGTTTTGCTTCCAACACACCTGTTGATACAACCTAGAATCATATTTGCTTTTTTTGCAACAGCATCACACTGTTGACTCATATTCACCTTGTGGTCCACTATGACCCCTAGATCCCTTTCCGCCATGCTCCTTCCTAGACAGTCGCTTCCCATCTTGTATGTATGGAACTGATTGTTCCTTCCTAAGTGGAGCACTTTGCATTTCAATGAAGACAGCCTGGGGGGAAGTGGGAAGTGGTAAGATCAGAAACCTCCTCTCATCCCACTGTAAAAGTGACTCCGTTGAGGTCAATGAGGTTACCTGGATATAAGCAAGAGGAGAGGCAGGTTAAAGCCATGTTGGCCAACACCAAACACAAAGTTTTGTCATTTTAAAATGAAATGTCATTTTGTCTGCTCAACACATGTCCTGCATATTTCTACATCGCTGTATATGAAATAATACTGTAGGACTGCTGTCAGCTACGGGCCCATATGACGAGATGTGCATCCATAACCTACACCCGGGAGCCAACATCTTAAAATAAATACATGAGAAATATTATTTACGGATGCCTGCTGCCGGCTCCATTCACCTTCATTTCAGTTGGGGTGCGATTTATGGACAAAGGTTTTATGCTGAAAACTAGACCAACCAAACACTCATTCTTCGACATTGTCAAAGATACAGCTCTGTAGAACATTTCTCAACTGGCACAGCAGTTTGTCATTCTTATTAATTTTTCAAAGGTGTCTGCAATTAATTGCAATTAATTGCTATTGTTGATTTGTAATATTTACAAATACTTCGTCCTGCTGTTTTTCAAATGGTTGCTGACACCTACAATTAGAAAATGACACCCCCTAGAAAACAGTATTTAGCTGAACCAAAAGTCAGATTTTGAAATGTGAACTGAAAGTTTGAAAATAAATTAGATGAGGGTGCATAAATATCTATTCTAGGTAAAAGTATACCAGGCACTAAGGGGCTCTTTGATCTAGTCAAGACAAAACATACCAATGGCTGGAAGTTAAATCAAGACAGAGTCAAATGAAAAATATGGCTTTTTTTTTTAAACCAACCAGGATGATTAATCATCAGAATAAACTATCAGGAGAAGTAGGGCATTTTCCCACTTTTGGAATCCTCAGGCCAAGATTGGATGCCTTCTGGGAGAGATGCATTAGTCAAACACAAGTTTGGGGATCAACAGAGAAGCAACTGAATTAAATTCTCCGGCCTGTCCTATGCAGACCCTGCGTGGATACAAAATTTGCGTCTGTATCCACAACCATATCTGCAAAAATGAGCCACCAATAGCCATATTCATATCCACAGATGCAGCTAGCTGTGGATATAAAGCAGATGTTTGCAAATTTGCAGGGTTCTAGATACAAAATGTGTATTGCATCTTTATCTTCAAATATGAGCCACAGATATAAAATGGATATCCACAAATGTGTAGGGATCTACAGATCAAACTAGATAATCTCATGTTCCCTTAAAAATCTATGCAATTTAGTATAATATATCACAAACCTTTTATCATTTTCTTCTTTGGTTATTTTTTCAGTATTTAGTGTTAGTGAATTGGCTACCCAAGCTACGGGTCTGGGGAACCAGCCTTCTAGTCTGCAGTAACTGAAATGGTGGTGACAACCAGAATCATAGACTCGTACGACTGAACGAGACCTCAGGAGGTCTTCAAGTCCTGCCCAAGGCAGGACCAATCCAACATAGAACACTAGAACTGGAAGGGACCTTGAGAGGTCATCAAATCCAGTCCCCTGTCCTCACGGCAGGACCAAGCACCATCTAGATCAGGGGTGAGCACTAATTTTTAATGGGAGGCCACGCCAACATTTTGGTAAGTAGTCAAGGACAGTATTTCTGTGGAGGGGGTAGGGTCTGGACAGGGTTGCCAACTGTCAGAATTTACGGACAGTCTGTAAAAAATTAGCCAAAATTGGACATGTCCATAAAATCCGTAAAAAAATTTAGATGTCCGTAAATTTCATAAAAGTGCAATACAATTTCAAGAAACAGCAATGATTCTCTAGCAATTAAATTTCTTCTGTGCTGCTTCAGCCATTTTACTGCGGAGCAGCGGAAATTGGATGTTTTAGTTGTTTATTTAGCTCAATGATTGAGGGGACGCAACGTGAATCACGTGATCCATGTGATGTTATCATCTACATTATCCCGCCGAGTTAGCATCAGTACTTTGGCAATTTATGTCATTTAATATTGTTTACCGTTAAAGTTTACAATGTCAAAATCAATGAGAAGAATGGATTGTGCCAAAGAGAATGAGTCTGACGACGCCGGTGAATTATCGCCTGATGATGAACCAGTTACTAAGACATCAAAAGGTAGAACATGCATGTTTTCATCCAAATGGCTAGCAGACGGTGAGTTCAAGGCTTGGATTTGTGTAGACAGTGAAAGCAAGCACAGCGCCAAATGCATTTGGTGTAAAAAGCTGTTCAGTATAGCTTCTGGTGGAGTGCGAGATGTTTGTAGTCATGCTGCAAGTGGTAAGCACCAAAGCATAATGTCTGCAAGGAGATCTAGCCCTGGAATTATGAGTTTCGTTGCTAATGTAAATCCAACAGTGACTAATCACCAGAAAATGGACACAGAATGTGAACTAAAAGTAGCAACCTTCTTAGCCAGACAAAACCTACCGCTGAGTTTGATGGACGAAATCTCAGATAATGTAGCTGATTGGTTTTCTCATTCCACAACTGCAAAAGATTTCGCTTGCAGAAGAACTAAAGAATCCATGATGATTAAAAATGTTGTCGCAAAAAAGACCAAAGAGGAATTGTCTGGGACCACGGGTGGGGTGTAGAAGGTAGCTTGGGATAGAGGATTGGGGTGCAGGAGGGAGCGTGGGGTTTGAGAGGGAGTTTGGGTGAAGGAGGGGGTTATGATCTGGGGCAGGGGCTTGGGGTGAAGGGTCCAGGAGG